CGGCGAGGGCGCGAATATTTTTTCAAACGACTCAAACTTTCCTTCCTTCCCTGCTTTCTGGGGTCCCTCTTGCCTGGAATTGCTCTCCAGATTCCCGCGGGGCGCCGGGGCGCGATTCCTCCCTCGGGTGCCTCAGCGGCTCGGCTAACTTCGCGGACCCCAGGAGCCGAGTCGCTCTCCCGGTGGCCGAACCCAGCCCGCGCTGCTACCCCGCTCAAGAGGGCCAGGACTGAGGTTCCTTTGCAGCTGGCAGGTGCGCAGCCTGCCCCCTCAGGTCGGGCCGCTGAGCTCTCAGCACCGGGTGCAGGACTGGAGACAGCGAATTAAGCCGAGAGGAGCCCGGGTCTCCCTGCCCCCGCTTCGCGGAGGGGCGTCCCTTGGGCGGGGAAACGACAAGTTTGTCAGTCGTCGGTGGCCTGTTGGAGCCAAGCGCCGCCGCCGCAGCAGAGAGGTCTTTGGAGCCCAGCACCCCCAGCGGACAGCCCTGGGGACCCGGGGCGGCTCGGCGACCGGGCTTCTTGGGCCGGGACGCTGGCTGCTGCGCCGGGCGCACCAAGGCACCCGGGGCTGGGCCAGCGCCCCCTGCGTCCCCATCAGTGCAGCGGCCCCACCGGAGAAACCCGGGTCGCCGCCGCCGTCACCGCCTACTTTTCTGTCCCCTGGTCACCGCCCTCTCGGTCGCCTCTCAGGGAAAGAGGGGGACATAGGAGGTGTCGCGGGGCCCCGGCGGATGCGCCCCCCGCTGCCTCTTGGGCTGCGCCGCCTCGCGGGGATGAAGCACCGGCCGTGAAGATGGAGGTGACCTGCCTTCTACTTCTGGCGCTGATCCCCTTCCACTGCCGGGGACAAGGAGTCTACGGTAAGAGCCCGCGTCCCACTCCACGCTGGCTGAGCCCCGCGCGGAAACTTTGCAAGAGGCGCAAAGTGCGCGCTACCGGGGTTTGGTGGAGACCTAGGCTCGGACTCTGGAGTGGATGCCCGCGTCTCCGCCCTCTCCTGGGCGCGAGGAGACCGAGCTAGCTGCTTTGGAGCACTGGGACTGGTCGTAGGGTCTGGCGTGAAGCTGGGGATGCCAGGAGGAGGTACTCACTTTCCCCATCCCTGATAGGGGCGGGAGTGACTTGTGAACCCTTGAGAGAATCCAAAGGGCGCGGGAGACCCGAACAGACCCTAGGCACAGGGTTGGGGCGGCGACTTACGCTGAGCCTCATCCTCTCCTGGCTCGGCTTCCTAAGTGGAAACGGGCGATGAAGGATCCGGAGTTGCGCGCTGCTGGCGGGCGAGCTGCTTGTCAGCGCCGCGGCCGGGCGGCGGGCTCGCCGCCTTCCCCGCAATCGCTGCGGCTTCGCTGCTTCTACTCGCTTCTTCCAGTCTGAGCGGATGCCAGCATCCCCTGCCTCTGGCGTCTACGGCCCTGGCATCCCTTCTCAGACTCTCCTGAGCCAGTTCGGTCCCTGGCTTCCAGGAACAAAACCCCAGCCGCACCTTCCTTCCTCCTGAGAGCACACAGACACATTCAGCCACCGTTCCCAGGAAACGCAAACACGGCACGCACCCATCAGGCGACGTGTCCAAACTCTGCCTCCTGTCACTCAGATTTGTTCTAGCGTACCCACGCCACGCTCAGAGAAGCAAGGGGGATTCCAGTCACCCCTTCTCCGTTCCATATCCAGGGCTTTCCCAAGGAAGGCCCCAGGCTTGGGCATCACCCGTTCAGGGGTCTCCAGCCCGGAAAGTCCGTTTCCAGGGGCCTTGGAGCTTTCTTGCCTTCTCCCGACTGTAGGAGAAGGTCACTTTTTAATGATGTGTAGCTGGAGTGGGCAAGATTCTCTCTTTTTCCGGGGCTCAGGGCATAATTATTCCTGTTTAGATCTGGAGGAGTTTGACCTGTCCTGAGAAGGGTGGCAGGAGCAGTGTCCCCTAGATGCCAGCTTCAGGTGCTGGTGCTAAGTACTTTCTTCTGAAGTGGCCCTGCTCCATCTGCCTGTGCCTGTCAAGAGGAAGGGGTGTCCAGGAGATGGCATGCTCTTGGCCCTCCACAGAGAGCTGGCCTGGGCTTAATTCCTGGATGAGGCTGGGCCAGGCATCTGGCCAAACTCTGCTTCTTAATCAGTTTGTGTTTCCCTACTGCCTCCCCCCAAGGCTAGGAAAGGCAGGAGGGAGGAGGAAGGTTGCAGGGCCTGGGAGAGGCTGGGTATGCAGAGGAGGCTGCTGAGCAGGTCCTGAAGGCTTTGGCCTCCCTAGGATAGAGGAAGACGCCAGTGGTCTAGGGGTTCCTCTTTCCTCTTTCTTCCCAAAGATTCCCTACAGCTCTGCTGCCATCATTGAGGTGCCCTAGGAAGGATGCTGCTGAGGCTTTTCCTTCCCCCTGTTCATATCCAGGCACTCAGGAATGTTCTGGAAAACCCTTCCTGGGTGCCGCTGTGCTCCACCCTGCCCCTCGGTGTGCCCTTGAGCAAACCTGCCAAGTCCATCTCAGGGCCATTGTTCTCCTCCACCCTCTCCATCTTCTCCAACTTTCTCCAGGGCTGAACAAGGGCCCATCTTGAGGAGGCTCTTTGGGGCTTCGATCAAAAAACCCCAGCAGTGGGGGTTGGAGAACAAGGCAGTGGTCTCCGTAGACCCTTATTTCAGAGGACTTTGGGGCCAGCATTCGGCCATACGGTTACTGTCTCCTTTTCTCTCTTAATTTTCTCCTCTCCTTCAAGTGCCCAGGTCCCAACGGCTCTCAGCAAAAATCAGAGAGAGGAGTGGGTGAGCTCCAGGCAACCAGGCTTCCCCACTCTCCTGGGAGAACTGGGCTCTAGGGAAGGCTTGGCCCGCTGGGGAGTTGCAGGGCGGAAAGTCTTCATTAGGTGGATGGAGACAGGGAAAGACGGAACAGGAGCCGGAGAGGGCAGTGAGGCTCTGGGGTCCTGGTGGTGCCAAGAGCGCCCACCAGGTGTGGCAGAAGCATGCCCCTTTGAAGGGCTGGGACTGGTCTGAGAAGTAGATGGACAGGTGGGGTTCACTCCTCCGCCCCACTCCAGCTTGTCTCTACCCCCAAAGCAGATGAAGTGCTTCGGAAAGAGCCAGGGGAGCACATCGGGCCAGGGGTGGTACCTCCTGGGCCACCACTGCATCCAGTCCAGCGTGGGGCCTCGCGCACCGCAGGAGCTCCTGGGATATTTGTTGAATGAATGAAGGGGCCGTGACTGGGGGAGATGGACGAAATGCTTCTTAAAATGCTTGCTCCCCAAGAAGTCTGTCCAGGGCTTGGTTTCCCACAGGGCAGTGGGACTCATGTTGAGTCCTAGACTGGCAGCCGCGGAGGAGAGGAGACACTGGAAGCCCAGGGTCGCCTTGGCAGTGGGGAGGGAGGCAGGAGAAAAGTGTATACCTTGGGGAGGGAGCCCTAATCCCTGCCCTTCTGCCCCTAGGCCCGCATGACTGAGGAAAGGACAGATTAATATGGAGGCTAAACTCTGGAGAGGAGGGCCTGGGCTGTGGGTCTCCCTGCTGACACCAGCGGTAGGCAGGTGTCCAGGGCCCTAGGCCCTGTGCCTGCTGAGGTCCACCCACCTACTCCAAGGTCTGCCGTCCGCAGGGCTGGGGAGGCACTCTCAGGGTGGCCAGGTGGCTTCTCTCTTCCTTGGGACACAGATGCTGCAGCAGTGCCGGGCCAGATGGTCCATTTGGAGCTGGTCCCCCTCCCTCCTCGCTTCCCAAGCTACTGGCCCAGTTTGTTGTCCTGTAATCTGCTTTCTGGCAGGCCAGGGGGCTGGGCTGCCCGGGAGGCCCAGTTCTGGGGCAAAGACAGCAGCCAAGGGATGGGGAGGCCCGTCCTGTCCTGTGCGTGGATAGTGTCAGAGAACACCCCCTTTTCTGTTCCGGCTCCTCCTCCTCCTCTCATAGGACGCAGACTTCCAGCCAGGGGCAGGTCGGTGGGATTCCTGTCCCTTACAAAAACATAACAAACCCCTGGATTATTTAATATGCAGGAGTGGGAATTGACATTATCCTTAAGACAGGTTGTTTGCAACTTACTGGTGGAAGTCAAAATATTTCACCAAAGGTGTCATCAGAAACTACTATCCTATGCTAATTTTTGTGGGAACATGAAGACAGATGTTGAATAATTTGACAAGAGCAACATAGCTCACAGAATTATCACCAAGTCAGGTTTTTTCCCCTCCTCTGGGGAGTGCGGTGCAGGAATTTCAGGAAGTGAGCCTCCCAGGGCTGTCTTCTGGGAGCCCATCTGGGTGTGGGGACTTGGGATCTTTCACTAGTCTCTGCCCCCTGCCTCCCTCTCTGACTCTGCCCTAGAGAAAGCACCAAATCAGAAAGCTGGCAGCTGAAGGCTCTGTCCCTCCTGATGGACATTGCATGAGGGAGAGAAAGAATCTTGTGCGCAAATCCAGGCGGTTCTGTTTGCTTTGTGGGCATTACCTCCCTCCCCTTCCAAGTTGATGCCGCCTGGAGCCAGCCTGAAGGGTTCCCAGGCCGGGTGGTATCAGGCCAGAGAACCTCCCCACGGGCTCAAGATCAGCCGCATGTCCCTCCCTACAGAGCCGCCTGGGCCTCTGTGCCTCCCTGACGTGCAGCGGCTCTAGGTGAGGAAGAGGAGGGTTCGAAGGGGTTTTGTAGGCAGGGGCCACGCTGGGGATATCCAAGGGCCTACGTGTAATTGGCCAGGCCTGGCTGTAAGCTGCTGGGGCCAGGGTGGCAAAGCCTCATTTAGAGCCTGGTATTAGCTCTGCTTTGCTGGAACATGGAGGAGCGGGCGGGGGGCTCCGTAGGGAGAGTGGAGGGAGCTAATCACAGCCACCAGGCCTGGCAAATGAATGATGCGGGAAATCAATACCTGGGGGCGGGAGTGGAAATCCGGGCAGTGGTAGCAGCCCTGGCTTCTCCCGCTGCCCAGGAGGCAGGGACAGGTCCAAGATGAGCGAGACAGAGACTGGAACGTGGAGGGGTTCCCCGGCAACAGGCACCCCGCCCCACTCCTGACTCTCACCTCCTGTTGCTGGGCTCAGGAAGGTTGGCCAGGGAGATACCCCACTGGGCGAGGGCGGGAGGCCTGGCGGTGGAACCTGTGCCTCCCAGGCCTGGAAGAGCCTCACCCCGCTCCCCACCTGCCTCTTGACTCCCGAGAGCCTGAGTAGGTCCCCTGTGTGGGTGTGGGTGGAGAGTGGGTGCTGCCAGGGGCCCTGCCCTGGGCAGCGGGCGCTGCTGCTCCACATGTGGCCAGCAGGGGGCGGGCTTGGCCACCACATTGCTTCTGCCTTCCCTGGGCTCCTGTGGGCCTCACCCTCTCAGAGGCACCAGAGTTAGACTAATTCCACAGTCTGGGGCTGAAGGCAACCCCTTAGGGCCTTCTAGAGCTCCAGGCCTTCCCCCAGCTCCCATACATTCACTCGAGTGTCCCAGGGCACCCGCCCATGACCAAAGCCACACTCCCTGCATTCTCAAATGGCCCGAGTGTTCCATGGGCAGGAACGGAGGTCTGTGGGGGGGCTCAGCCCAGCTTGGTGGGCTCTGCCCCGGTGAGGCTGCGTGTACCTGGGGAACGCATGACTTGTGCCCTCACAGAGCTGCCTCTTTAGGATCCTGAGGTATGGCCTGTCTTCTGCATCTTTGTCCCCAAATGTCACAAGACCGCTGCTTTGCAGGAATGTGTCTGTGAGGAGCCCCTGTGGCATTTAAATGCTGATGTGGGAGGCGAGAGCCCACTTAGTTCAAAGGAGGGAATCTTTTTTTTTTTTCTTTTTTCAAACAATGAACTCTCCCTTTTTCTTAAGTCTATGAATAACACATGTTCTTTGCAAAACAATCAAAGAATACCAAAAAAGTATAAGAAAGTAAAGCTCATTGACATGCCACCAAGCATTCGGTGATGATTCTTTTGGTCATCTTTTAGTGCTCAGAGGCAGGAACCTTTGGGGGAAGGTCATTTGTTGTGATAATTCCTTACCGTGTGGAAATACCTCCCGCCAAGCATTGTCTCAGCCTTTTACCTTTGGTTCCAAAGGCATTCTGAGAGGTCAGCACAGGGCGTCCTGTTGTCTCCAGGTGAGGAAACGGAGATTTCAAGAATTTAAGTGAGCATGTGGTGTGATGGCTCCAGCTTGTAATTCAAGCTACTTGGGAAGCTGAGGCAGGAGGATTGCAAGTTTGGAGCCAGCTTTGAGGACTTAGCCACACCTTGTCTGAAAATGAACAGAAGTGCAGGACGGGCTAAAGCATCCAATCCCAAGTATTGCAACCATGAAAAAAACAAAATTAAGTGACCTGATCAAGATTAGTATTAGTAAGAAGTGGTCCCAAGACTTGATCCTACTGGATCTCTGATTTGGGGGTAAGGAAAGCCACACCCTGTTCCTCTCACTCGCCCTTCATTAATATTTACCGAGTCCCTCCCTGAGCAAGACCCAGTTCTGGGCACTGCAGGCTACTGAAATGAGTCGAGTGGGCCACAGGAGAATGTGGCCCCCAAAAGATCTTGATACATGCAGGTGGCAAGGGCAGTGGGGACTGAGGGAACCAGAAAGATAAAGAGTTCACCTCAAAGACCTTGGCAAACAGAAGTAAGGGCTGCAGAGCGAATCCCGGCTGGGAGGCTAAAGACCCTGGGTGTGTGGAAGGACGGTCTCTCATTTGGGCGAGAGTCCAAGTTGAAATGGAATCAGGGCAGTTAGACTGGTAAAGAAAGGAAACCATCACCACCACCACCATCACCATCATCACCATCACCATCATCATCACCACCATCACCACCACCACCACCACCACCACCATCATCACCATCATCACCATCATCACCACCATCACCATCACCATTGTCATCACCATCATCACCACCATCACCATCACCATCATCATCACCATCACCACCATCATCACCACCATTACCACCACCATCACCAT